CGCCCCGCTTAGTTCAGCGGCATTTGCTCCCAAGTAAAGGCGTGTAGGGAGCTGCGGTGGCTCAAGTGGCTAAGACGCTGAACTGCGGGCTGTGGAAGGTCAGTAGTTCAGCAGTTCGAAAGCAAGACATTGCAAGGAGATAAATAGGGACCGCTTCGGTGGGAAGGTCACAGCGTTCCGTGCGCCTTGGTGTTTAGTCACGCGGGCCACGTGACCACAGAAACGTCTTCGGACAGCGCTGGCTCTTCGGCTTGGAAACGGAGATGAGCATCGCAACCCTAGAGTCGGACTCGACTGGCTTTCGAGGAAAGGAACCTTTACCTTAAAGGCGTGTAGAACTGCAGTCTTGGGCGTCAGCCCCGTCCCCGCTCTGAATCCAGGGCGACTCCTTTCCCGGGAAACGTGCCTGGGATCGGGCCCCGTCCTTGCTTCGAGTCCCGCTTTCGCTTTGACAGCTGGGCCGACGGGCGAGCGGCGGCAGGTGAGTCCCTCCCCCCGGAGGACGGATCGGGGCCAATCGGGTGTCGTCTCCGGAGCTTCGCCTTCTCCTCCACAGATGAGGCGCTTTTGGACCCGCCCGCAGGGACCTCGAAGGTGGGGGGGAGGGGGTAGGACGCCCCCCTGGTGGACAGCCCGGGCGGGAGGTGGGGGCGGGGCGCCGCCGCGGCAGCCGTTTAAAGGCTGGGCGGGGGCGCGCCGTCGACCCGGGAGAGGCCTGGAGGCGCGCTGGAGCCCCTGCGACTGCGGCGGACTGAGCCCGGGGCGGATGCGCCCTCCCGCGCGGAACCTCCCGCGGCAGCAGCAGCAGCCTCGGCAGGCGGCGGCAAGCGCAGCCCCGGCGCGGGCTCCCCTCTCTATGCGCCCGGGGAGGGCGGCTCTGCCGGTGCCCCTCCCCGCCGGCCATGGGTAAGGAGAAGACGCCGGAGGGGGCGGCGGGGAGGCCGGGGCGCTTCCCCTCGGAGGCCGGCCTCTGGCTGGGGCGCTCTTCGGCCTCGCTGCCGCCTTCCCCCGGCCGCTGCCTCGTCCTGCCCCGGGGGCGGAAAGCCACCAAGGGGGGCGCCCTGGAAGGAGGGAGGGAGGGAGGGAGGGGTCTCCCGATCCGCGCGGTCCCGCCTCCAGAAGCCGCCCGGAATGGCCAGGCCGCCGGCCTCTCCCCTGCCCTGGCCGGCCTGTCCCCCCCCCAGAGCAGTCGCCCCTCCGCCCCGGCTCCTTTTGGGTCCCCCTTCCCGTCTCTCCGGCCGCCTTGGCGCTCTCGCGGTGGGGACGCTGGCCCCAAGGACCGCAGACGGCCGGCGCGGATTCCGCGTGCGGCGCCCCCGAGGATTATTTTTTTAAATTATTATTTTTTATATTTTTGCCTGGCGCGTCTGAGAACGAAGCTTGGAAGCAGTCCTGCCGGAGGGCCCGGACGCGGAGCTCCCCGCAGACGTCGGGGAAGGGCCTCCTCCGGCTTGGCCGGCCCGGCCCTTCTTGATCCGAGTGGTCGGTGGGTGCCGGTCCGGATGAGTCCACCCCGACCCCGGCGTGGGTGGCGGTGCCCGGGCGGCGGCCCCTCTCCCGCGCCTCCCGCTCAGCCGGCGCTTCCTCCCGTCCCCTTGCAGAGCAGACCTACGGCGAGGTGAACCAGCTGGGCGGGGTCTTCGTCAACGGGCGCCCCCTGCCCAACGCCATCCGCCTGCGGATCGTGGAGCTGGCGCAGCTGGGCATCCGGCCCTGCGACATCAGCCGGCAGCTGCGCGTCTCGCACGGCTGCGTGAGTAAGATCCTGGCCCGCTACAACGAGACCGGCTCCATCCTGCCCGGCGCCATCGGGGGCAGCAAGCCGCGGGTCACCACCCCCAACGTGGTCAAGCACATCCGCGACTACAAGCAGGGCGACCCGGGCATCTTCGCCTGGGAGATCCGCGACCGCCTCCTGGCCGACGGCGTCTGCGACAAGTACAACGTGCCCTCCGTCAGCTCCATCAGCCGGATCCTGCGCAACAAGATCGGCAGCCTCTCGCAGCCCGGCGGGGCCGGCGGACCGGGCGGAGGCCTCTACGAGGGCGGCGGCGGCGGCGGCGGCGGAGGGGGCGGCAAGCCCCCCGGCCCGCCGCCCGCCCTGCCCTACAACCACATCTACCAGTACCCCTACCCCAGCGCCGTGGCCGCCTCCGGCGCCAAGCTGGCCGGCCACCCCGGGGCGCCCGTCTCCGCGGCCCACGTCAGCCTGCCCCGCTCCTGGCCCTCGGCTCACTCCGTCAGCAACATCCTCGGCATCCGGGCCTTCCTCGACCAAAGCGGTGAGTGAGCGAGCGAGCGAGCGAGCGAGTGAGTGAGGGGACCCCCACGGGGAGCGGCCGAAGAAAGTAGCAGAGACTCCCGTAGTTTACATGGGGCCCACGGGGCCCGGCCCCCTAGTGTTTCTTCTGGGGCCCCTGCCTCCTGGGCTGCCCCACTTACCACCTGCACTGTACTTTCATTTAATTAGCTGGCAGGCCCCCCAGAGGCCCCCTCCCAAAGAATTCTCTAGGACTGGGGGTCGGGGCGGCGATCGGTATCGGGGCGGCGATCGGTATGCCCTGCAAGCAGCTGTCGTCTCCTCTGTCCTGAGGCGTCTTGGAGGCGGTTTAATTCTGGGTGGGAGTTTTGGTGCGCTGTCCACAGGCGCTTCAGCCTCCTTCCGACCAGTGTCCCCTCTAAGCTGAGTTAGTGTGAGCTAGCTCACAGTTTTTTAGCCTCCGGCTCACACATTTTTGTCTCAGCTCGGGAAGGAGGGCCTACAGAGCAAACTAATTTATGCAGGAGCCGTACTGCTTGCTCACAATTTTAATGCCAGTCGCTCTGTGGCTGCCTGCGGTCACACGCACACACACACACGAAATAATCCACTTTCAATCCACTTTGCAACTGGATGTTACCGTGTGCAATGTTCCCTCTAAGCTGTGGAGTCTTGTGAGCACAAATCCTACTTGGTGAGCATTAAGTTGCGAGCCAGCAATTTGGCTACTGCGTAAATTAGTTTGCTCTGGAGCCCTCCTTCCTGAGCCAAGACAAAAATGTGTGAGCCAGAGGCTAAAAAAACTGTGAGCTAGCTCACACTGACTCAGCTTAGAGGGAACACTGAGTCCGTGCGGCCTAGCAAACTCGGGTTGGAAAGTGTGTTGACAGTGGCTCGAAAGTGGATTCTTTCGTGTGTGTGTGTGTGTGTGTGACCACAGCCTGCATGCGTGGGCACGAAAGCTTCTGCCCAGAATTAAACGTTGTTGGTCTTCAGGGCGCCCCTGGACTCCAACTTCGTTCTGCTGCCTTAAACCGACACGGCGACTCACACCGGAATCTCTCTGTCGCTCTGTCCAGGACCCATCTGTCAACCCACGCGTCCTTCCGCCAGGGAGCTCAGGACGGCCAAACACGATTCTTCCTCCCTTTCCTCCCCCTATTAGCCATACAACGCCCCTGCGAGGTAGGCCAGGCTGAGTCAGTCTCCGCCTGAAAGTCATCCAGAAAGCCTTGTGGCAGTGTGGGGATTGCAACCTGGCTCCGCAGGCTGACCGCCGATCCTACTAGTATGACACTCCGCCTGCAAGGGCAGGAGGACTCTGGAGAGGCCGAAGCAATCCCAAAGTCCGCCCCCGCCCCGGGAAGATTACAATATAAAAGAGCCAGGGAAGAACTGGAGCAGAAGATCTTGGGCCACCTTAAAGAGTGCCCAAAGGTTGTTCCGTCGAAAACGTTCTTCTTCCGGCGAAACGAGCCGAGTCTCTCCGTGTCATCGCGATTTTATCCTCCACAAAAAGATGAGCGAAAAACAAACACGCAGCCGGGGCGTGAAATGCAAGACCTGACGGGGTGAGACTGAATTCGGCGACCTTCAGATGTAATCGAGAAAAATGCAGAGACCCTGAACTAGCTATGCCGGACGAGGCTGGTGCCTGGTAGATTCAGGTGCGGAGCCGTGTTGGTTTGAGGCAGCAGAAGAAACGCCGAGTCCAGCGGCACTTTTAAGACCAGCAGAGTTTTATTCAAGGCATAAGCTTTCGCGTGCACGCCTGTACCTGAAGAAGGGTGCGCGCACAGGGAAGCTTATACAATGAATAAAACTTTGTAGGTCTTAAAAGTGCCGCTGGACTCCTGTGGATGCCTGTGTGCCGAACATGGTCCAAAAAAAAGCTCTCCCAATCCGGCCCTTTGTTGCTAGTTTTAATTATATATTTTTAAAAATTAAAACGGAGCTCAGACAGATCAATCAAGAGGCCATATACCCCTCCCAAGCCTTCCCTGTTTAAGAGAGAGAGAGAGAGAGAGAGAGAGAGAGAGAGAGAGAGAGAGAGAGAGAGAGAGAGAGAGAGAGAGAGAGAGAGAGAGAGAGAGAGAGAGAGAGAGAGA